TAGTATGGTGTTCCTAATAATCCTTTAGGTGAGTGTATTTCACTGTTTTGAAAATAACAATCATGAACTACTGATTTAAATCATATTGTAATGTAGTCACATTTCAGATATCGTCAGATATTGAATCGCTGTTGCAAAATCAAACTGAAATCGTATCATAGCGAAGTTTAAAATTTACACCCCTCTTATTATTATTATTATTATTATTATTATTATTATTTATAATAATAATAATAATAACAATAATAATAATAATAATAATAAATAATAATAATAATAATAATTAAAAAAAGAATAATTGTTGCTTTAAGTTGCTGAAAAGTAGATCTCATGTCCTGGTGAGGATATAGACAGCAATAATCTAGAACTTTCTCTGCATAACCTACTACTATGATTTACTTACAGACGGCACAGTGAAGTCTGCTGACATGCCAGACTGCCAGGTGAAGCTGCGAAGCACAAACCCCCTGCAAGAGGTCAGTCACCAGGGAAAGAGAGGATATGATTCTCCTAAACTGATCCCAGAATGGTTTCTCCAAAGCATAGCCGCGTTTTGTGCAGGACTAGCTGGTCAGACAGTGATGGCAAGTCATTCATTTGTTGCGCAAAGATGATGTAGCATCTGTGTTAATTATGCTGATATCCCCCTCTTCAATGAGCTGCTTAATTAAAATTCTAATTGTTTCTATGCATGTCTGCACGCCCCCACACTCACTTTCACCTTCACTTTCATTTTGCAGTGCAGTTAGCTTTTATTGCCTTCACAGTGGTTGCCTCAGTTCCCAAAAAGTCTTCACATTACAAGCAAATGGAGCAAAACCAACGGTGACGGCAAAAGGCAAATAAAGACAAAACTTACTTTTGTTTTGTTTTTTAAGTCTTTTTCTTTGTTGCTGAGCAATTTCAGGCCACTAAACCTGAAATTGATAAGAGCGTGATTTTCCAGCCTGTACTGAGGGGAAAAATGCTGTGCGTGAAATAATGTTATTGTTAGACCTGGAGGAGGGAATTCTGGGTCTTGGTCCAGGTGGCAGCAGGCCCAGCATGAATGTTTTCTGAACTTACCATGACTGCTGCTGTGTCTCCCAGGTGCTGAAGCAGAAGGCTTGGGTCTCTGTTGACCGGCACAGCCAAAGCCTGGATGACGTACGCCTGATCAAGCAGCCTATCCACTTTGCTACTTCCCATCTGCTTGATACCTCCCACAGCTTCACCTTCGGGCTGCCGAAGTCCCAGCTGGACTCCCCCGTGGGCCACAGCTACTACCCGGCCAATAACTCTGGCAAACCCACATTCTATGGCCGAAGGTCCACAAACTGCCTGTCTCTGGACACACTGGGGGATGAGCAACTGCTGGAATTTATTCTGTGAGCACTAGAGGACTCTTTTGTAGCTTGGAGTCTGTCGTTTTCACTACTGCACCAGGTGACAGCCTGGGACTGTTGTAGGTGTGACAGGGACACACTGTGAGGACGTGTGCGTGTGTGTGGCTTTGAAAGGAAGCCGACCCTTGTTCATCAGACAAGCCACAATCACCATTGTGTTGTGATTGCAGGTGTTTCCACTTAGGACTGTAACCCAATGGACAAATCATACTGTGAAAGAGAGACTTTGTTGTTGCCTAGATACAGCGGTTTAAACTCAAGTAACCTATAAATTTGGACATGCAGGAGGAAGCTTGTGTTGTGTGAATTTTACCTGGATGGCTGGTCACCAAGTACCTCCCACAGCACGCTTTGTATTGACTCTTTGTATTTATGTGTTTTTCAGTGTTTTTTTTCATATTCATATTCATATTCTTCATAATTGCATATATATTTTTTTATCTCGTCACGTTTCAGCAAATTGATTGCTTTCAATTTCCTACTAATATGAATCCCAACATTAAATTTAAAAGCATTGCTTACTGAATGGAATTGCATTTGGTAATTGCAAGTTGTCAAGGTGGACCGCACAAAACATTGCATGCAGGTGGCTACATGGAGAGCCACAGCAGATCCAGATCTGTTTGTGTGTGGTTCTGTTTGCTGCTTTCAAAGGTTTTGATGGTTACCACTGCCTAACATTGTCTACTCATTCTGGGTGGAGTCACTGTTAATATGTAATATTTGTAATAATGCAATAATGGGAAAATGATACCTTGTTTCTACTTCATCTGTGCCCTTTCATTTAATGACAATATTGATAGACTGTCCTTTTGTCACTGTTGATCATTATGTCAGTATTGGAGAAGCCGATAAAGATTTCAGATTTCACTTGTCTGTTTTCCTGTCATTGAGAAAGTGTGTTTAATACATCGATGCCACAGATGTCCGCAGGTCTCCCTAGAACTATCCATGCATGTTAAATTTCTCTTCCCGGAATTAATTCTTTCTTATTCTTTTTAATACCATAGTAACATTATTTATTGATAACTGATTAAAGCATTCATTGTTGCAATGAATGATACCATCACCCTTATGGATTATTGTTATTGCCAGTATTAAGTATGTTAACACTGACATTGACATGTAATATTTTCTTTTCTTTTTTTTTACTGTTTTATATTTTTTAATATTGTATTATAATCTAATATTAATCATTGTGCAAAGTTTGCACAATCTATATTAATGTGCTGTATACAAAATTTATATGTACAGACCTGAGGCCCCTTGCAGTTATTTTTCCCCACATTTGTTCTGAATTGAAAATCAAACATTTTTTCCGGTACAGACAACAATCAGGTTTACTATATTTCCACCTTTTTTGTTTACATTTATGTTTATTTTATATTGCTCTGTATCCTACAATGCAAACCTGGTGTTAACCCAGTGTATTGTAATACTGCCATGGAAGCGTGCTTGCAGCTGGGGTGTTTGGATATTTCAACTCAACTCAAACTTTGTATCTTCTCCTTTCAGTGAAAGGCACCCAGATTTAGGAGCCGAATATAATAAATGACTATGGAAAGACTGTGTGTATGGGTGTTCATTGAAAATACGCAACTTAACACTTATTCCAGTGGCACCTATATGATAAAAAATAAAGAATGAGAAATACAGTACAATTGTATCGACTATCTACAGTATATACATTTCTATATATAGAAAATTCAACGAAGTAGAATAAATATTGATAGAATGATTAAGAAAACTGCAAAATTGCACTAATGTGTAAAACAGTACAGCCCATGGGGTGAACGACTTAGTTGGTCACTCATTCATCTGTGATTTATTATTATTATTATTATTATTAATAATAATAGTAACAATAATAATAATCATGATAATAATGTAATGATACTTTATTGATCCCCATGGGGAAATATTCTTTTCGCCTATCTCATCTTGCTCTCCTTGACACACCGACAGGTAAGCTTTGGAGTCCCTTGCAGTGGCGCCCATGAAACTGGGGTTTAAGGACCTTGTTTAAGGGCCCACAGACATGTGACTATTCTGCCGAGGCCGGGCTCAAACCAGCGACCTTTCATTCACAGGCACGGAGGTTGCCCCGAGTATATTATTATATTGTTTATTTGGTTACAACCGCTTCATAAACCAACCATGAAAAATGATACATCAATATACAACTTATTTCGATTTATTCAGAGAGAGGTAATTTCACTTATTGGGGTTATCACAATGGTATACACATCAGTTTAAGCGCTGGACAAATATGACTGAGTGTAGTACCAGCTTCTTCATAAGCGAAAGTGACATCATTTCAGAAGTATTTACGCTCAAAACGCTTCATATGAATGTCAAACGCACTCGCGTAATAAAAACAATTGACCCATCAAATACTCCGTACACGTCCAAAACAAACACGTCACTAGAAAGCGACAGGGCGCGTGCGCAATTCAGAGTACCGTGTGGAAAAGTGGGAAGCCGTCGTGTTAAATACCGGTGCGCGTAGAAAAGTGCACTATTGTTTTCTCTGTTGTCTCAGTACCGTGGTTGAAATGCCTTCGGTTTTAATTAATGCACTTTTGTCTAGCTGCTCGAACCCCGATTTAGTGTTAAACGCTCTTTGCTGGCCAAGTGACACATGGCCGGAGATAGAGGTTGTTGAAGAACTTGCCGTATTAATCGATGGAGTTCATAGTCTACATTACAAGGAGTCAGACAGGCATAATATCGGAGCCAATAATGGTCACACCGGATGTCCAAGAGAGGTGGCGTTTCAGAAAAAAGTCGAGGATGTAGCATGGAAACACTGCGTGCCTCTCCTGTTTAAAATATCCAGCGAACACGAGTCTGCCTGTAAACTTAGGGGTAAAAACAAGGATTTACTTAATGCTGTGTGCATGCTGTTGGGCGTTTGTGTTAAGATTTGTGACGAAGAGCTGTCGGAAAAGTTGACAAACGTTACTTTGTCGGTACTGGAGCTGACGGAAGATGAAGCAGGCGAAGAAAGCCCCGAACAGAAAAAAATAAATAAAGACGTTGCAATTGAAGTCTTGGCTGTTTTAACACCTATTATTTCGTCTAACGAGCAGCTGACAGCGACGGTGCTGTCATCCGCTTTAATGTGTATCAAAGCCGGCTCCGATTCGGTTGCTTCGAAGATATTGGTTCGCGTTTTGATGACTTTGCTTAACACCTGTTGCCCTGATGAGAGGAGAGCAGTCCTTTTGGGACGCATTCGGGGTGATCTGAGCTGCTGGCACGAAAATGACAGCACGCCAGCAGTGACAGCTCGTATCTTGCTGTGTCTAACTGCGCTTTCAGATCACCTGTTTCATTCCAGCAGCGGTTCTCCTGCTAACGTTTACATACACCACTCCCAGCAGTTTTGGAAGATAGTTCAAGCAGGATTGACGCACAGGGACAGCGTGTCGCGCAAACGGGCGTTGTATCTATTTAAGAGGGCTGTCGAGCTGTCCGATGAAGAGAACGTCGATTTTCAAAGTGGTAATGCATGTCGTGAAGGTAAGCCTGCCATCAATAACAACACTGTGGAGTGTGGACTGTAGTGTACTTCATGTCATAGTGGGTTTTAATACGAGTATTGGATGTTTGAATATTTTGCATTATCAGGTATATGGATTTGAATCCTCTTTTTTGCAGAACAGAGTTTATTCACATGGGTACCAAAGAAGTGCCAGCTTCTCAGGGAATTCTGGGAGGACTATGCCTTGATCATGGAGACCCTTGATGAAAACCAGGTACCGACACACATGATTCACATATGATGTGTGAAAAGTGCATGCCATTTGCTAGTTTTTTTTCCTTTTCTTTCTGTCTCAAAACATTAACACAGAAATTTTGAACTTTGATCTCATTATTTGATTTTGTTTTGTCCATTGGCAAGTTGGATTGTTGTTATCCATAAATAATGTGACTCTGACTCACAGATTCACGTGGTTCGGCCTGTGCTCAATAGGATGGACACACTGATCGAGGCTACTGTGAGTGACATTCAAGGTAGGTCTCTACATTGTGTGCTGGGTCCAGCCATTTGACACTGTTGCATCCTCCTGATTTATCTTTGGTCCTCCCTCATCTCCTCCCACTCTCTGACCCCCTCTCTCAGGCCCAGCCCTGCTCCACCCCTCATGGCTGCTGTCTGTGTACCAGCGCATGTTCCACAGTGAGAACAAGACCGTTATGAGGGAGGGGGTGTGTCACCTGCTGGGTCTGCGGGTGCTGCGATGCCCCGCCTTTGCTGTGGCTTTTTCACAGGTGCGTTAGTATTTATCTGACCACAGCTCAGCTGAATTGTCTGTTTACTATTATCTGTGTGTTACTACAGCAGCAGGAGACGGACATGTTAACAGCCAGAAGGTTGCGTTCTTACATTTTCTGATGAACTGTGCTTTTGTACCCATCAGAGAGGAATATAATTGAATTAAGAAGAAAAAAAAAAAACCAAAAACATAGTTCTCTGCTTCTTGAAATGTGCACCAATCTGACCATGACCCTGTGATGGCTGGATAGATAGATGGCTGAATGGATGAAGGGAGAAAATTAGAAGTGGCATTTAGTAAAGCAGAGTATCATAGTCATGATACATAGGTGACAGTCCTTTAATTTCTTTAGATAGCGTACACTTGGCATGTAATACATAGTTATTGGTATTAATTTGCACCTGTGATACTCGTTCTGGAAGGTTGTGTTGACATAGTATGAACATCACTTGTGTTGCATGGTTATGAGATTTAATTTTTGTGCTTGGACTCCTTGGAGCCTGCAGAAATGGTGAATACTGTACCTGTCTTGTGTGCTACGGTTTCAATCTGTGGATTTAGATGTGGTTTTATTGAATGGCTATTACTAAGTCTGTCGTACTCTGTCTTGTCCAAGAACATGGCATTAGTGTGACTGAGTTAATCCTCCTCTCTGTTCCAGTTCACTGTTGGCCCCTTCTTGGATGTGCTGGCTGAGAGCTCGCTCTTCCACAGGTGAGACACTGTCAGTTCAGAGCGCAAAACATCCTCTTGGCCTAATGTGAAGCTCACTGAGATTTATTTTTCATTCTGTTGCTGAGTAAACAGGAAAGTTTACATTTGTAGGTGTGCTTCATGTGAGTGAGTAGTATCATTAAATGGGTCATATGTCTTTCATATTTATCTACACATATTGCATATTAATGTACACTAATTTCTGGGAGGTATCTATTAAAATTTAAGAATTTTTGAAAATGAAAATGACACTTTTTTTCATTCAGTGGAACTGAATCTAGTGAAGAGTTTCAAGTCCAGTAAAAAAAAGAAAAAAAAAAGGCTCCATGCTTAAGTGGCAATACAATTACAAAGTAGAAAATAACCTTGGTGTTTTGCAAATGGGAAGCATCATGATGGCCTGTTTTGGGGAGCAGGGTTAGGTAAACATGGAGTTGCCGAAGTGTGATCAGTTTAGTTTAGTGTTGGTTATCTGGTCTTACTGTTATCTAGTGCTGTCTTCCTGATTCAGGGATCTTTCTGGTTTGCTTCCTCTGCTAAGCGTTAAGTTGACTTGCTTGTCATATATTGTCCTTGGGGGTGGGGGGGCGGCGGGATGTATAGCTTCACTGCCTGCTTACTTTGCTGATAGACTGATAAACTCACCCCCTACCCCCAGGTCTCCTGGACAGAGCATCGGAGAATGTCCAGAGCTCGGGGCCAAGCTGCAAGACTTCATGGTCACCTTCATAGGCAGCCTACCACAGGAGAAGAGAAGTACATTTCCTGCACTGAGGGCACTCAAGGGAAACGGGTAGTATAGTGGTTAAGGACAGCGATTGAATGCAGAAGGATGTTTGTTCACGTCCCCGAATAGTCCCAGCTGTTATACCCTTAAGAGGGAACTTTCCTGAGATCCAGCATGGATAAATTTGGCGGTTCTTTTTTAATGAGGAAAATTAGTTGATTATGTGGTTGAAATATGACTAATCATTTCACACATAATGCCTACCAATATTAATGTAACTTGGTAGCTGTATTCTTTCTTTAGCATTCTTTAATCAGGTTTGCGGCCTGTGCTGCTATGGATAGGCTCCGCCCCCCCGCCACTCTAACTGGGATAAGTGGTTGTAGGACAGATGGAATAATGCCCTGGGCCTGATGTCTGTGCTGCATGCGTGTGTTTCAGATGAGGTGTTGCTGCAGCTGGTCCAGCGGCTGGGCTCTCGTCACTGGTGTGCAGTCCCTATCCTCTTCTTGTCCCAGGCCCTGTCCTGCCTGCCCCCCTGCCCAGCGCTTGGCCCCCCAGGCCTGCAGGCGCTCAGGTAATCTGGCTGCTTGGGACTGTCCCATTGTAGACTGGGAGTAAATGAGCCAAAACCACTACATACGCCATCTATTCATTTAGTTATATTTGTATTATTTTCTTAATATTTTTTCATGATATTTTGTTTGTCCACCATTTTTGTTTGCACTATGTGTGCTTATTTGCCCTTTTCTTTGTTTTGCACTATATATTTGTTTGTCTGCACTTTACGTACCTCACTGCTGTATGCTCAGGGATCGGTAAACTTTATCTTATCTTACTATGTCTGGCTGTGCAGTATGTCTGAGTAGAATGCAGGAGGTTCTATTGAAAGTTTAAATGCCCCAAGCTGAACTGGCAAATGCAGGCTTTGCCACAGGGATCACCTTAGGGAAGCTGGAAAATGTGTATTGTGGAAAAAATGCATAAACATTGTATTCAATTCTTTTACAGCTGCTTTGTTGGTGCAGTTGTTGTTATCATAGTATACATTTCAGATTTGTGGAGAATACTTATGTCAATCAGTCAGTCATTATTCTAACAAGGAAATGTATTCCTCTGAGCTAAAGTGGAGGTTAAAGCTAGCAGAGGTGTTTAATTTAACATTTTCCGGGATGTTACAGGGAGGTGTTGCATTGCACCATGATCACTCACCAGGTGCTACTCAGAGGAGCTGCTCAGGGCTTCTTGCTGCAAAGTGCCCTCTATCTGACAGATGTGGTAGGACACGTTATTTTTTCCTTTTGTGCAATTTCGGCTATTTCCCATCAAAATATTTTCAGACCACAGGAGCACTTTAAGGATGTTTTTTTTTTTTTTCTTTTTGTTAATACGAAATATATACAAACAGATCGCTGTAAAGGTGAAATATTTACCGTTGTCTGACTAACAGGGATTAAGCGCTGAGTCTCTCTCCACACTGCAGGCCACAGTGACACTGGCTGATGTCCTCGGATTCCTAGCGCACTTCCGTGCGGATGAGTCACTGTGCAGAGGCACGAAGCTCTGGGATCAGGTACGAAATGCTTGGTTAGGGGTCCAGACTGGGGGAATGTCTAACATTTAGTGGGTGATGAAATTGTCTGCTTGGCTGCATTTTGTGATTATATTGATATTTGGCGTGTGTTGTGACATGTGTAAGCTTTGCTTTCCCCTGCAGTCAGGAGGCCTGTAGGTTGATTGCCTGCAGTGTGTGAATTTGTGTGCATGCGTGCGTGTGCGTGCGTGTGCGTGCGTGTGCGTGCGTGTGCGTGCGTGTGTAGGTGTTCTAAGATGGACCTGCCTCCCCTCCAGGGTGCTCCCCTGCTTTATACAGTATCATAGCTGACCAATGCAAACCCATATGTCTACTATTTTGTTGATTGTGACTTTATTATAGATGAAATACTGCCTTGGGATAATTTCCAGGCCCTGCCTCCTACAACTCTGTACTAGAAAAGTACTTTGAATGGATGGATGGATGGATGGATGGAACACACCTGGAGGGTATTCCACAAAGCAGATTTTTTTCATTAGCCAGACAAATTTTAGGATTGTCCAATAGGCATGTCAGTTCTCCTCCAATGGGACAATTTTCCTATTTGGAGTTATCCAGTTATCTGGGAACTCTTGCTTTGTGGAATACCCCCTCGTGTCATTGTTGACATGCTGTAATTTGATTTGACTTTCTGTGTGTGTGTCTTTCAGGTGTGTGATTGGCTGCTGGAGAGTGAGGAGCATTTTAAACCTGATTCACACCTGAAGCTGGGGGCGGAGATTTCAAGGAACTCAACCCTCCAGGGGGGGTCCCTGAGAGTCTTTGTGTGCAACCAGCTAGATTCTTTCCTCCGGGTCCCAGCCTGCGCAGGTGGGCCCATTAGCCAGACCCATCAAAAGCTTTCCAAGAGCCCTGCTATGTTGGATTTCTACAGCTCGCTGGCTCCCTCCCTTCAGTTATCCATGACCCCTTTGCCGTAGACTCGACTGGGGGCTTACCCGATCCCTGGGAGGCAGAGCTCGTGGCCCGGGCCCTGTTTCTCTGTATGGATGTGGAGCAACGACGACCCAGCGGTGCATCACCTGGGGGACTGGAAGAGTTGCTACGCCCCCTGCTGGACACCCTGAGTCGGCTTGGCACCAACGTCTACCTGCCCTTGAGGAAGGCTGATAAAAGCCTCCAGCTGCTTTTGCGGCTGCTGCAGCTGCGGAAGACGCCTGGCAGCAGTGACCCTCAGGCACAGAAGGGTGTGTCACGTCACTGGCTCTACTATACAGCCTTTGTTTTACAGCCTCTAATGAGAATGCAAGGTTTGCTGAAATGAGTCCTTTAAGTGGCTCTTCTGTAGCTGTATTTTCCTTCAGGCCTCCCCATTGGTCAGCCGCATTGCCTTTATTCAAAATGCAATGCTTTTTGCTGGTTTTGTGAGGTAATACTCAGTTAACTAGTCCAATCCATAACTAGTGGAGGATACTGTGTGTCTACTCTAACTAAGGAACTTGTCTCTGTGAAAGTGGGGTCATACTATGCTTTTTTTGTGGTTTAATGTTTTAATTTATTCATTTTTGCCCACAGACGAGGTATCAGCAGCCATAGAGATGCTTGTCCTGAGGGTGGCCGAGCCGATTCAGGAGTTCATGCTGCGCAGGCTGAGTGGGGAGCTGCGTGAGGTGAGGGGGCCACAACTGGCTTCTGCAGTCTCTCATTACTGAACTTGCAAGGCAGTTTCTCATTATTGAACTCCTTTAAATTTCAGCTGTTTATCCAAAGCAACTTATTTTTTTTTATTTACACACACACACACACACACACACACACACACACACACACACAGGGGAGCTCCTCTGAAGGTATATGGTGATCCTTCTCCTTACTGGGACCCTGTTATTAATATACTATTAATTTGCCCACCCCAGGTTTTTAAACCTTTATTCTAGCTGCCAGCTGTTCCCCCTTTTTTGCTTGTCTCTGTCCACTGTGGGACATGCTCTGTGAGTTTGCTCTTGTCCCATTGCTCTTCATCTATGGGATGTGCTCTGTGAGTGTGCTCTCAGCCCTTTGCTCTGTAGCTGTGTTATGTGCCTGTGAGTTTATTCTGTTCCCTTTGTGTTTGATCTGTTGGACATACTTTGTGAGTTTGTTACTCATCAGCTGTGTGATGTGCTATATGAGTTTGCTCTCGTCCAATTGCTCTTTACCTGTGTGACTTGCCCTGTGAGTTTACTCCCTTCCCTTTGCATTTTAGCCATGGGTCGTGCTCTGTGAGTTTGCACTCTCCCCTTTGTTCATTAGCTGTGGGATGTGGAGCGAGCCAGCCTGTACCATTCCGTCCTGCGGGAGCTGCTCCTGGTGTATGGCCGTGCTGGGTGGCACCACACAAGTCATCTTGGGGGATTTATCTCGGCGCTGACCAGATACTGTTTACGGGTGCTGGGAGAGCCAGAAGACCAGGTACCTCTCTTGGAATTGTTTGGTTTAATCCCTGATTTGGTGCAGTACATCAGTGCTGAAAGGGTCTTATTTGAATTGGTTTTTTCACTCTCCATGTGCTAGAAATGTCAAAAAGTCTGCTTATCCACCATATAAAACAGCAGTATGACCTAATGTCAGATTGCTTGCAGTCATTAACAGCTTTCCTGCGAGGTGGCAGACTGACTCTTGAGTTTTTGTTATCTGCACGAGTTTGCAGTTTTTATGGTGAGCAAAATGCTTACATCCGTTTTCTCGATATTGGATAAAGAGTGCAGTTTCTCAGATTGCTGCATTGCAAACCGTAAAATGGAAGTTGACAGGCAGTCTGAATGATTTTCATTTCAGCCGATGTGAAATCCCCTCCATGTTACAGAAATGAGGGGCTGTTGTCTCTGTGGTTTGTTTTCTTCAGAATCCTGTTCTGGGCGTCCAGGTAACCAGGGCAGTTGCCATGGCATCGCTGACTCTCTTGTGTGAGGTCGGGGAGAAACACAGGGCCAGCCTGCACCCTGAGGCTGTGCGTTCACTGTCCTCGGTGGCAACGCTGTTCTACTCCTCTTCCTCACCAGTGTTCCTGAACCACAGTCTGCAAAAGCCTGCAGTAGCACCTGACTGCCTGCAGGGGTCAGTGTAGCTATTCATTTGTGTGTCATTTTTCATAGTAACAATTTTACTTGAATGCTTGTGTATTCCAGCATGGCAGCAAATGAAAATATAATTTGAGATATGTGATGGATGCAGCAGGATACTGTTTACCACCTTTCACAGGGATTGTTAGTATAAAGCCAGCAATGTCTCTGTTCCCCAGGAGCATGGAGGAGGGCCCAACTCTCCAGGGCTGGGGCCGTGTAGCAGCCCACTTTGTGCGGGACCAGTGGGCCTGCCTGCGCTTCGTGCTGGGTTCCCTCACTCTGCTGGGCCCTCAGGAACTACCCCCTGCCTCAGCATTCCTGGGAACTGCGGTTGAGGCATTGTCCTTGCTGCCCAATGACCTGGTGGTACCTGTTTTAGACTGCATGATGTTACTGCTGCCACAGGTGGGTCACTTCCACATGGGGGCGAACATTCTTTTCTATTTTATGTTGTTTTTGGTAATGATAATTGTGTCTAAATTGCTATTCAGGGAAGTTAAATCACTTTTTATTTTTTTGTGTAATTTTAAAATGAGTGGGCTTCATTTTTCGAGTGTTGCACAAGCCACATTTTCAATGTAATTAAGTTTTCTGTTAATTAAAACTGTATATTCCTCACTGTAGATCTACTAGATAAGGAACAATATTTTTGCTTATGCCACCTTATAACACCTATATATGTGTCATACAAGTTCTATTTCTCCACCAGGTGGCGCAAACTGAGGAATGTTTGTGTGTGGAGGCCGTACAGTTGGCCTGGAAAGTTGTGCTGGGTCTGAGCAATAACCCCCATGACTTCTGGCCCACTCTGGAGGGCTTTGTGCAATTTGCCTTCGGCCGAAGAGTCCTGGAGCTTGCGGAAGGCGAGGCGCCGAAGCTCACGGCCACTATTCAGCAGGTGACCGCAGCACGGCATGCTGGGATTGCATTGCACCATTTTAGCTGTCATGCTGAAGGGAAGGCGGAATGCTTAATAATTTGACGGTAGGGTCATCTGATTTGTACATCTAGGTGGCCGCAGAGCTGATCGCTCTGTCTCAGACCAAAACAGGAGTATTCAACGTGCTTCTCCGGCACTGCTGCCGAACCTGGCTGCCCTCTGACCCAGGATGCGAAATCAGTGCCAATGCGGTGTTCTCCAGCACCTTCAGGCACCTGGACATCCTGACGGAGGCCTGTGTGTATGGGCCTGTGTTCAGGAGAGACCAGAGGTGAGGCTCCGAGGAGATCTGCGCCCCCTGCTGGGGTGCTGAGCTGTACTGCAGCGATTCCCTTCTGTCATGGCAACATAATGCAGTAGATTTAAGACGCCAAACCAGTCTTGGGCAGATTTCAATTTAAAAATATGTATGTGGGGGAAAAAAAGCAGAAACATACTATTGTGTGATGCTCTTTAGATCAGTGGATATCAACCTTTTTTGCACCGTGACCCAATTTTTATCGTGCTAGATCAGTCGCTGATGCTATGTCATGTATAGGTTTAAATTAACGCTATGATCAGGCACGCAATGCACTCTGCAGCGCCAATCAATGCCTATTATACGAACCTGATTGGATGTGCCAGTGAATTTTGTGGTTTAGCTTCATGGATTAGTTGAGTGTTCGCTAGTTTTGCACTTGTAGACATTTGTAGACCCAAGAGGGTCCAGGGCTGGGAAATCTGATCGTGGATCAGCATAGGAGCTTGTTAATTTTAAAATGCTTTCATTTCCGACTCTGCCTCGCAGCCCTTTCAGAACTTGCCCATGGGTTGAGAATCGCTGCTTTAGATTGCTATTGGAGCAGATGCATTTTAATTGGGTCTCTCTGTCTTTTCACTTTTTTGTTATAAATCAGATTAATCCAGGAAGTGCAGACGTACGTGGAGCGGCTGGGAGACACGTGTGCAGCCAACGTGATCATTAACAAGTACGGTTTTCATGCACAGACCCCCTGCCCCAGGTGTTTATGGGATACGGCAGAGTGGGCACCCCGGGAATGAGGAGTCGAGCCAGGCGCGGTGCTGTTCTGTTCAGCCCGCAAGATGCTCACCATAGCAGTGTTATTCGAAATAAATGAAAATGTCATTTGTTTTCACATCACCGGGAATAAACAAGGGGAAAGGAAGAAAAAAAGCATATTTACAAAAGCGTAAATTTGGGGGTACTTTAGTTTATTGGTCAGTCAGTATGTGCGGGGGTGGGGCGGCGAGATTCGAACCCCTGATGTAGTGAGCACTTCCCCCTCCTCCTCGCAGTGACAGCCGGGATGAGCAGCTCCCCCGCATGTGTGCCCTGGCCTTCCTGAGCCGCCTGGACACCTCCCACCCCGCACATGCCCACCTGATGGAGACACTGGTGCTGCGGCTGTTGAGTAAGGTATGCGGGGGGGGCGCTTGGGGGCGCTTGGGGGCTCTTGGGCATGAGCAGGTCCTGATGCTGTGTGCTGATTGTGCAGCTGAGCGACTCGTTAGCCCAGTGCGACACCCCCCCCCCCCCCCTCCTTCACTGCTTCCATGTTGATTAGTTTTCACTTCCTCACCGTTGCCAGGGACTGTTGCTGACTCTTGCAGCATTTGTAAACAGGCACTCCATCCCATAATGATGCACTAAGTACACCATCTCTGTTATTTCTGATGCGGCTTCGGAGGTGAAAAATCGAAATAGTATTAAATGTCAATAGTTCAAGTCATCCATAGTCAAACCCTGTATTGTAAAATGTGTCACGGATTAAGGGGGCCCTTTTAAGTGTTTTTCCTCGTTTGTGTGTTCCAGGTTTTGTATCTGTCGGTTAAGAATGGTTTTAGCTTTAGTGAGTAGTTTTTGAATGACTGCGTATATTTGCAGTAAAAGTGGTGTTTTTTTTTTTTTTGTTCCTTTGTTTGTTTCCCTTCCACTGTCCTTTGTAAATCCGAGGATGATGAGATATCGAAGTCGAAAACACGTTACTATGGCAACTCCCTGCAGCATCGAGTGAAGAACAGGGTGTGGCAGACAGTGATGGTCCTGCTGCCCAAGCTCAGAGCGGTAAATCTACACACATATTCCACTAAGGCTGCAATGCTGAGAGAGAGGGGTCAGATCATCACACACACACACACGCACGCACACACACACACACACACTAAGGTGACTGAACACCCTCTATTCCAGTGGTTCCAAGCCCAGTCCTCGGGGAACCCCAGCCAGCTCCCAGCCAGCTCCTAGCCAATCAGAAACACCAAATACCTTGTACAGGTGTGCTGGGAGCTGAGAGGGGGGAAAAACGTGGACTGTCTGGGGTTCCCCGAGGACTGGGTTGGGAAACACTGCTGTATTCTATATACCCATATACATGGACATTGTCTGGGGTCCTGTCCTCGGGCTTTAATGTGGACAGACTGTCCTTTAGAGACGTCCCTGACTCTGCCCGTGTGAGAAACATGTCCTGCTCTTCTGCAGGAGTTCATGGAGACTCTGCTGGGCCATGTCTATGAGGCCGGCTTCTGCAGCAACCAGGCGTCGGTGAAATACCTCATCGAGTGGGTGATCATCCTCACCCTCCACTGGCACCCTGCTCTCGTGGACACCCTCTGGAGGTGCTTCGGCGTGGTGGTGAGCACCGATTCAGCAGGTTGAGGGTGTAACCTGTTTGTTGTTGGGTCATGTCCCAGGGGGACCTCGGTTCAGTTGAATTTTGTCCAGTAAGCGGTGAAGCTTTATGAATGAGTGAATCTTTTGAGCTACTTGGAGGGAAAAACCAAACTAAGCAACCAAACAATCAGGACGTTGTGAAATTCTGTATTGAAGCTAGCAGGCTTTCTGTGATAGTGCAAGACTGAGCAGGTCATTGAGAGAACCAGTTTAGTATAAAAACTTTGCTTTTAGGACCAAGAGAAAACCAAGACAAGCATCTGTACTTTCCTGGCTGTGTTAGTTCACCTGGACGTCCTTCTGGCTAATGTTCCGGATAAGGTAGCCTCCATCGTCCTTTCTGCAATTTCATTGCATGCTGCTTATATCACTTGTACCTAGTTGTAGCTTGACTTGTGTTCATCTCCCTGGATATCTACCCTCCCCTTCCTGTCTTCTCCATGTTGTTACCCCTGCTCTTCTCCCCTATCTCATTCCACCCCCTCCTCATGCCCCACCCCACCTATCCTATATTTGCTCCTCCTCAACCCCTGCTTCTCCTAACCCCTCCAGGCCAGCAGGTGGCACCGAGCTCTGGATGTGGCCCTTCAGTGCTGCTTTAGTCACAACTTCAGCGTGCGCCTCTATGCCCTCATAGCCCTGAAGAGGGTCTGGGGCCTGGAAGGCATGAGGGCCACTGCAGGAGGTGAAGCGCAGGGTGCCGAAGGGCTTGGGGGAGTGGCCTCTGTTGTCCCAGCCTGCCTGCAGCAAGCAGAGGCCATGCAGAGCGCAGGGTGAGTGTTTGATTGGCTGGCGGTGCGATTGGCTGTCTGGATGGTGTCTGACCATATGGCTGGCGAGTAGGTTGATGGGTGGATGATGTGCTGTGGAGAGGACAAGTTGAGCTGATAACTGACCTGATCTGTTTCTAATAAGGGGCCCGGCAGCCCATAGAGCATACATGTGACCATTGATCAGTTTAGTGATTGGAGACGCAGTGTAAGGCATTGCTAACACACTGAGCATGTTGAATGGTCAGGTTGTTTTTAGAGTGGGTAGCTCTGTTGTCTCAGGGCAGCAGGGTTGTGGGTTTAAATCATGCCCCTGCCCCATGTTTGGAGTAGCCATCTTCTCCATGAACATAAGAATTATACAAACGAGAGGAGGCCATTCGGCCCATTGAGCTCGCTTGGGGAGAACTTAACTAATAGCTCAGAGTTGTTAAAATCTTATCTAGCTCTGATTTAA